CCGGCTCGGGCAGCTCTCAAGGCTGATGGGGGAAGGGGGAGTTGGCTCTCAAAACAGTGAGCATTGCCTAAAATAACTGGCAGCTCAAGCAACTGAGCTGAGAGCCTCAATCCCTAATGGTTGCACACTGGCTTTGTGCCCAGCCAAATAAATAGCTAGGGGTATTAGTGGTCTCTGATGCCTTCCCCCTGTAACCTCTTTCCCAGATGCTCCTGTGACCAGCACTGTTCCAAATGGCAGGCCTAGCAGTTTAGAAAAGGATCTTGACCTCTTTGCCTCTGTGGGATCAAACTCTGTCTCTGACTCCAGAAAGGTAAGGGAGTGGAGGAGGGGGTGGGATGTGATGTTCCTCAAACACAGCTAGATTCCTAGCAGGGTTGTATGTTGGGATCAGCCTACTACATTCTCATTTTCACCCCCAGGTCGTTGGTTCCATGCCAACAGCAGGAAGTGCTGGGTCTGTTCCTGAAAACCTGAATTTGTTTCCTGAGCCAGGGAGCAAAGTGGAGGAGACAGGAAAGAAACAGCTCTCAAAGGACTCCATCCTTTCTCTCTATGGTTCCCAGACACCTCAGATGCCTGCTCAAGGTACTGTACATCCTAAGGAGAGGAAAGGTTGTGCTGGCTGGGGTGTTTTGAGCAATGCACCGTAACCGAACAAACTGCTCTGAAATGTGTCTAGTGCCACACCTTGGATTCATGTGGTCCCTTTTACAATGGATGTGGGCACCTCCTTGACTCAAGTATCAAATGTGCTGCTCATGGGATGGGCCTTCTAAAGGGGCCTGATGCAATGCTGGGTGAGTTTGGCCTTCTGCTCCCTACTACTGAGACAAAGCACAAGAAAACTGAGTACAATCAAGTGGGAGGGCACGTGGTGGACAGCGCCAGGTTCTTCCTTGCCACTCACATCCCTGTCGTCTTTGCAGGTGCAATGTTCATGGCCCCTGCTCAGGTGACGTACCCTGCAGCCGCGTACAGTGGTTTTCCAGGCGTCACTCCACCCAGCAACATGATGGGAGGCATGATGGCACCGCCCGTAGGAATGATGCCACAGCCTGGCGCTGCAGGGATGGTGACTCCTATGGCCATACCAGCTGGATATGTAGGTGGCATGCAGGCAGCCGTCATCGGTGTTCCCAACGGCATGATGGCCACACAGCAAGCTGGGTATGTAGCGGGCATGGCAGCAGTACCACAGCCAGTGTATGGCGTGCAACCAGCACAGCAGCTGCAGTGGAACCTAGCTCAGGTGAGAGGGTTGTCATCATCTCGTGATCTGGGGGCTTAAACATTTCTTTCACCAAAGGGTCTTTTTAAGCATCTTGCACATAATCTAATTCTGCCAGTGGCATGGAAAGAAGATGTTCCTACTTGGAGATGGGCAGCTTCTCTGGAGTGTGAGTAAGATGCTGACAGCCTGGAATAAATGTGGGTGTCCTGGCACTTAGTCTAGTGACTGGACCAGGCCGTTTCTGCTCAGATTTCTCTGATAGAATGTGAAGTTGGTTGGCTTTTTCAGCAGGTAACAGCTCTTTTGCTGCCTGGAGCAAATGTACAGGCAACACTGGAATAGAAATATGCATATTTTTTTAATCTCTAGGAAAGTTTATCCACATGGAACTTACTTTAATGGAGCCCAGTTACAGATGAGAACGTGTTGTGATTGATCATGGCCTAACTGCTGTAATGGGGGAGATGACATACAATCTGTACCTCTGTGGCGGGGATGGACTAGATCAGCCTAACCTATTTATGTGGGGGGTTACCCAAACAGTCTGGTAAGCAGGGGCAAAATAGCAGGAGACATTACTTGAGCAGACTGAGTTGCTGCTGTAGATAAGCTAGCTTAACTAGCCCATGCTGATGCTCTTAGCTCTGATGCCTATTTCCAGGCTTATCAGTTTGCCAGAGCTTGTAAAACGAACACCTGCAGAAGCAATGTGCGTGACTGATTCTTCCCCTGTTTAAAGTCTATTGCTGCGTTGCATCTGTCCCTTGGAATAGGCTCAGAAAGGGGTGACACTCTCATATTGGTATAATTAGACTGGGACTTGGTCTGGGTATAGCAGTTCGCTGAGCCTTTGTAATTGGATTGAAAGTAATTCAGTCTAGCCTCCCTGGGCACCTAGGAAATGAGATTGTACTACGTTGATTTTAGCCTTGCTTTGTAGCAAAATCTCCATTAAATCGAGCACTCGCAGCTAATTTTCCTGCAGATGGGCGGGGGCTAGATTCCTTCATTGTCCTTGGGTTGCACTGCTTTCCCATTTGCTTCTGGAAGGCACATGCCTGGTAAAGCACTGTTGCATCTACTTGATGTGAACATGTACCGTAGTACTTTTATTGCGTAGCAGGTTGTGCCCCACTGATGTAGCTTGCTCGGCTGTTCCACTGCAGTCTTAGCAGTCTCATCCGTGCAGCTGATGAGAAGCAGCACCCTTTGCTTTCACTGCCCACAACCAGTGCCTCCACAGTCCTGTGCAGCTGTTAGCTGCAGCTGTGTGACCCCCTGCCCCCCGAGCCGTTTTGCAAACCCTCACTTCTGCAAGGGTGGGAGGGAGGCTAGGAACCTGACCTGTGAAAAACCCAGGTTCTGCTGCACTGCAGGTCAGCAGCATTAAGCACGTGCTTGAAGCCCAAGCACATACCAAAGTACTGTTCTAGGCTGGAAGCCTCGACTCGTGTCTGGTTGGTATTGGAATGGCTTCCCTGACTGACCTGGCCTTGATTTGTCTCCTCTCCTCCTCCTCCTCAGATGACCCAGCAGATGGCTGGGATGAACTTTTATGGCGCTAATGGCATGATGGGATATGGACAGTCAATGGGCGGAGGAAGTGCCCAGGGAAGCAATCAAACCCTCAGCACTCAGATGTGGAAATAACCCCCCCTGCATTCTGACCACTTCTCTGCCTTCGTTCTTTTTTTTTTTTTAACTGCTCCATGAGACATTGAGGGTTTTGGGGCGGGGTTTCCCTTTCTGATGCTCTGCTCAGCCTGAGCCTCTCTTTCCATAACTGAGACCCATCTCTGCCTTGTTTGCTGTCAATGCTACAGCGAAACCTCAGTGGCCAGAACACCACTTGCAGCTCCCCTGCACTCTGCACAGTCAATGCACACTCGGAGGGGCCATCTCTTCCCCCTTGAGCACACGCACGCAGCTTCACTAATGCTTCTGGGATCATCTCTGCATTCAGAGAAAAGGACATCCTGGAGAAATTGTGACTGAAGTAGTGGATTGAGTATTTAGTACTGTCTGCACTTACAGGCCTTTTTAGAGATCACTTAAGCAGTGGTACTAGGTGGGAGAGGGGGCAGGTCACTAATGAGCCTTTATTTGGTGCTGAGGAACGGGATTTTAATACAACCCAAACCCTAAGGGGCAAGAGAGTCTTGCCACCTGCGTTTTCTTTTCTTTGCTGTGGAGTTGTCTGGAGCTGAGGCCTTGCTGGGCTTGGCTGGTCAACCTTCATTGGAACCAAAGTCATTTTTGAAGGCCCCTGCTGTGAGCAAGCGGGATCTCCCACGGCGCGGGGCACAAACCGTTTGGAATGTGAAACTTGCACTTCTTCAGAGTGGCTTTTTTTTTTCCCCCCCTGTCTAATCTGTGGTGTTGATGTATTTAAAATGAGCAAGCAAACTTTTAATGAACTAACAAAGAGAATTTACTTTATCAAGGGCCAAGAGCTTGTCGTAAAGCTTTTTCTTACACTTTAAAAAGTGATTCTGACATCCTAATTTATACTTTTTCATATTGCTTTGTTTTGTTTTGTTCCTATGTAAGCCCAGTTCCTGGCTATCTCCTGACCTTCTGGTCTCTAAGTATAGAAAAGTGGGTGCATTAGACATTTTTTTTTCTTTTCTTTCCATCGCATCCACATCCCTAGAAAACATTCGCTTGAAAGACTTCATCAGTGTGAAATAAAAAAAGTGAGAAGCTCTCGGTTTACTTTATCCTGTGTATATGTAAATTCCTTAATAAAATATTGCAGTGAAACATCAACTGACTTCATAACTTTGTTTTGCTTTCTACCTATTTCATGCCAGGTCTGAGATGCAGGTGAGACGGTGAGTTAATCTAGGTGCACAGTTTGGATTCATAGTTGATTAGTTCAATCTCCTTTTTATTCCTCAGTGGGGATATAACCAGGTTGTGCACTGTATTCTAATCTGGAAATTTATCTGAAGGCCCTGTGCTATAACTTTGTCTAGTTGTGTAACATCATGTGTTAACCAGACCTGTCAATTAATTCACACAGGGTTTGCCCTTTTAGTTGAGAGAAGAATTATTCTAACTATAAGAGTGTTCTGATTATTTTGGGGGGTTTGGTTTTTTTGATAGCAAATCAAGCAGGACTTGGAAACGTAGTAGACACAGTGGACCTGCTCCAACTGCAGCAAGTTACAAAGCTCTAACTCCATTCCTCTGATCGGTGTTTTGATCCAGAACTGAATTCAAACAGTTTTTGTGATGATGCAGTGGAAGAATGGCTAGTCCAGCATGTAAAACTCAAACTCTCTACTTCATTTGTTAATAGGGCGCTAAACATCTCACCGGTGTATATAGGGTCTGGAAAAGTGCCCTCCTAAACTTCTGCAGAGGACAGGTACTGCAGGATTGGGGACGGACAATGTCCTGACTCGTACTACGGAGAACTTTTTTTTCCCAGTGAAAGTGTGTTGGGTTTGAAAGCATCTACTGCTATAACAGAGCTGGCGTAGTGGACAGGAGAGGAGTGATCTAATACAAGTCAAATCCTGCTCACACAGTACTGCCTCATTAAGGAGGGTACCCCTTTTGGCTCTTATAGGAAAACTATTTCAAATGGTTACCTTCTGCTAAATCCTGCGTCCCTACCAAGCACAGGGTGATGAAGGCACGTACCTTGGTAAGAATAGCTTTTGCCGTGTAACTGCCTAACAGCAGTTTTAGGCCTTGTAGCTCAGGTTAACCGATGACCGCATCGCAGTCTTCCCAGGCTCTACTCAACTTGATGCATGCCTATGACCTTGGCCATTCCTCTGATGCTACACTATGCTCCTTTCTTCCCCGTCCACCCCCAATCCCCTGCCTTCTCAATCACGCAAAGCCCTTTACTTGACGTGTGGGGTCAGAGGTGGAATGTCTTGCATAAGAAATATTCTGCATTCCAAGCACAGGACAAGCGAGCAGTTTTCAAACTGGCTTTTAATCGTCTTTACTTGCTGCCCGAATACTGTACATGCAGGTAGAAGCCAATGAAGAATGTGAACATCTCGCTCTTTGTTTTTGTTTAGTTTCTCCTTGGAAAATTGGCTAAGAATATCTTACAAAATAGCGTGCACCCTCCCAAGTCATCAAGTCTTGCTGCATATAAACCACAAATATACAAGGAGTTTTACATTAGGAAAGACCACGCACATATATAAAACATTACATAGCACAGGTAGAAAATTGCCATTTGCTTTTGAAATCTACTACCTTTCTCAAGTACCCATCACAAGCCCATCCCTGTGTCTCCAACCATGGAATGGGAGTGAGAATAATTCACCCCTTCTGTGATGATTTTTTTCCCCTTGTCTAATGTCAAGTTGTTTGTTTCTGAATCTGTCATTAAGCCAAGAAGCTTATTTCAAAACGGAAAACGAGGGACGTAAGAGCTCCATCAATGAAAGCAGCCAGACCTGACCTGCACTAGCTAAACTGCTTTCTTCCCTGCAGGATAAATGCCCATCCCAACCCTGAAGTGCACAGGTACTGTTTCAGATGTTAACTGCTCTTCTTTTGACTTTCAAATGGAAAAGTTTATAAAGCTTGCTAAAGACAGTAAGCACCTCTGGTATCTGCCACTGAGTTGGGTAGAACTAAAACATCTCTACCATTTCAGTTTTGTACTTACGGGAATTTGAGGCATTTCTGTTGCTGGGGGTCCAATTTCCCTCTTAACTACTGTTCCGAATCGAGGGAAGGTAGTGGTTTTTGGCTGGCTTAATTAGTTTGGAGCAAGGGCCATGCAATCTGTTACAACAGAAGCACCTTCAATTCAAACAGCTGCAAGGCTGTAGCAATCCAGTTAGCTTAAAAATACCCGTCTTCCTTTTGGCTTCCCAAAAGGAAGCTTAGCTCTAGGAACTGAGCTGCTCTTGGTCATTCATGCCTGGCTGCGCAGCATTAGGCTTCCAGCAGATCTTCAGGAGCTGCCCAAACATTGGACCCAAAGATGTCCTTCCTGCTCAGGTGTGTTAATAGCTCCTTAAATCATCTCATTTCCCTTTCAAATTAGGAGTCTGGCCGAGGTTGAAAAGGATGATCTACCTTTACTTAAGCACAGAGTGAGGGTAGGACTTCTCAAACCCTGCAGTTCACTGGAAGCAAGAGTCTTGCCTTTCGCTGACACTTGTGCTCTTGGTTATTTACAGGTAGATGCTTTGGGAAAATCCCATCCTTGGTTTCTTTTTTACCCTTTTTCTGCCTTAAGTAAGTTTGTATAGCTGAGCTATAAGCTCCTGAAAATAATGACAGATTCTTGGGTGTCGGGCACCGCTACAGCGGCCCACATACTTGTTTGTATTACGCTGTTTTGAGGTGGGGAGTAGGACGGCATGATGGGGGGAGATTTTATTTAGCTTTTTAACTGCATGAAAAGATCAAGCCCTTTTTAAGAAAACAAGGCCACCAACTTCAAAGTGCTAACGTTCGAGAGGCATTCGGTGCCAGAATACCTGGCCGGTTGGTTACAGAAGAGGGTAGTGCAGCTACCTCCAGAGAAAAATAAAAAAAAAGATGCCATTTCCAGCATCAAAACATTGCTTCAAGATCCTTGCTATAAACATTAGGACACAATCCTCCTTTCTAGCAAGTGCTGGGACGTCTTGTCCGTACCCAGTACGTGGACAATTGCCCCTTGAGGAACAGACAGGTCATCTGTGACGCTCCCTTTTCAAATTGAAGTAAAACCCCTCTGCTTCCTCCTAAGGCTTCCTCTTTCCACCTGCACTCAATGCAAATACTGTAGGGAGAGAGCAGGGTCCCCAAGCTCCCCCTTTTGTATAGCTGCTTAAAAGCCCTCAGATCTCACATCTGAGCCATGTTGACTTCTTTGCTGGCCCTTAGAAATAAAAAAAAAAAAGGAAGAAACTTTGCCGGATGAGGGAAAGGTCTAACATCCCTGTGTGCCAAAATAAGGGTAAGAGAAAAGGTGCTAGACCTTTTAGAGAAGAGGTGGAAGAACAGAAACCTCAAGGCCAATTTTTGCGGCAATGGTGTGTTGTCAAGCTGAATTATCCCACGCTCAAGAGAGCCTCAGCGCTTCTTGTATCCCTTACCCTTTAGCTTGGCAATCGTTACCCAGTGTGACAAAGCAGGAGCAGACCCAGAAGCACAGGCTTTGGAGCAGACGTGTTGATGAATGCCCCAACACACCTGCCCTTCATCACGGACATCTAAAATAAAAACCGAAACAGTACAGCGCGCTGAACTAGTTATAAAAACGTGAGGTATACTAATGATGCGAGTGCCAGAAGGGCCGAGTACTTGCACTGCTCAGTGCATCTCAGTGGCGGTAGTGTTGTCCTGGGTCTAATGTCCAGGGAAACGCGCTAGACACGTGATTGGGGTGGAGAGGATTGGTTTGGTAAAGGGTGTGATGGTTGCCCATATAAACAGTGAGACGAATGGTCAGCCCCTTTCCTGAACTTGCTTTCCGTTCTCGGGTCCCGTCTTCAGAGTGTTTATTCCACAATGTACCGTTGCCACTTAATGTGACTGGCCGAGCAGATAGCTCTCCTCTGGACGTTGTTGGAGCAATAGGATTTCTGCTTTGTTCCATACAGGATGCCAGTATTTGTATTTCCCCCGCTCCCCTCCACTCTAGTTGCTAGCGGCCGCGTGCACGTCCAGGTTAGCTTCAAAGCAGGTATTTTCCTGGCACTAGGAAGCTTCCCTGCAGGCTGCCACAAGTGTAGCATACAACAGTCTTCAGTACTTGAACCTCCAGCCAGCTCCGTGGGTCCTAGCATGTCTTTGCATCTCCCACTAGCACAAAACAGAAGAAGACCTCCATTTGAAACAGCCTTATTGAGAGCCTTTTAGGACCGACACAACTAGCAGCATCCCCTACTGCGTCGTGTCACAAGTTGCTAACCGTTACTGGAAGGAGAGGAGTGATTTTTTTCGGCATGTACATCTCTAGCCGCTAAGTGCTCACAGGAACTAGAGAAACGTGGCAACATATTTCTGCCGTGGGTGATGGAAACAATAGCGGCCGTGCTTGGGATTCAACCGCTAAGAAGCACGGTGGCTAAAAAAGCATGTGAAAGGCTGGCATTTTTCAGTATGGGAATGCATCAAAAGGAGTGCCTGGATGTGTTTCACAAGCCACCTGCGTGGGCAACTGCTTTGGGTTTGTGTTTGAATCAACTAGAGATCATTGGAAAGGGGATTATTTGCCTGCATCAAAACCAGGCCAGTGCTGTTTCTACAGATGGTCTTCCGCTTAAAGGCCCCTAGATTACGTACTGACGCTACGTATTCCAGCAGTCACCGATGCAATGGACACTGTTTCAAGGCATTGGAAGTACATTCTCACGTGTGCATGCAAGGCTGGAAACAGTCTTTCAAGAAGCTGAGCAGATCAGATCTATCAGCGAAAACAATCCTGACCCAAGTCCTTTGGCTAATAGTTTCCGTCTTCTCTCCGAAAAACAGATGCATTTCGTATACAGATGAACTGTTTCAAGTGCCATGTTCAGCACTGCTAGCAGAGCCAGGGAAGTGGTTAGGGGTGGAGTACTTGTTATAATCTCAGTTGCACGTGGTATTTTCTGGTCCAGCTTCGGGGATTCTGAAACCGGCTGGCAAAAACCGGGATGGCTCGATGCCTCCTTTGATTGTTTTGCAAGACCAAGTCTCAGCTCCCACCACATTCATTAGTACCTTTGCAAATGCCACGAAGCTGACAGCATTGTAATATGCTGTCGGGTGAGGGCCCACCCTTTGCTCTTGCCATATGGATTGGCAAGTAGCTGCTAGACGGCTCCATATACTAGCAATAGGGCCTTAAGCGCTGATCTGCTTTAAAGCATCTTCACAGCATCGCCTAAAAGGAATGGGATTAAACAGTACCAGTCGTGGATTCAAGTCACATTCTCTTGCTAATGGTTCATGTAATCCTGCCCTTCCTTTCATTAAGGGTCTGTGAAACTTGTACAGCAAAACACAAAGCTTCCCCAACAGGCCCTGGCTTTACAGTTGCTCGCAACCTTGGAGCAGTCCCCGCTGTTTGTGCGAGCGCGTCCAGCTAGCCAATTCCTAATCAAGCTACCTAATTCGGCTCCTAGACTGTAGGCAAAGTTTCACTCCAGACCTAATTATGGCCAGTCAGGCCTATTGCTAGCTTCCAGCAAGCCTAGAGCCAAGGCCGAGTTTGCATCAGAGCCGTGCAGGGTTGCTCTTTATAGTGCATGGTTGCAACTGGCTTTTGCTTGTAATTATTTGGGGTGGGGGATATTAATGCTGGGACTCAAGGGGAAGTCATTTAGGCAGTTCATCCTCATAACTGCCGTAGGGTGCCTGGGGTGAGATCCTGACGTCTCTTATGCCAGCGCCACTCCTCTGACCTCAACTGCGTCGCTTCTGCCCACAAAATCAGCATTATTGCATAACTCGGTGCCATGCACGTCTTGCTGGCTTCCTGGGGGCTGGCTACAAAGGCAAAAAGAGACTGCAGGCAGGTTCAGCTTAAGACAAGCCAGAGCCACGGGTGAGTTTTGCAACCTAGACAGATGTGGAATCAGTCTTACCTGCCTTAGGGGCTCAAAACACCCTAGCCCTGATTGTTGCTGCTGTGGCCTGATTTCCCTGTACCCTGGCCAGCCAAGGTACAGGCTCTCTGGGGGTTGCCAATCTTGGTGCCCCTCTTAAGTCCACCTGCCTCCCCCTAGTTATGCTGCTGACACGAGCAATCCCCCAGGAGAGGGGTCGGCATCCTGTCTTGATGGAAGAAATGATTGTGGGGTGGAGAGAAATGCCTAGTGGTAAGTAATGTTCAGTCAAATCGTCTGTCCTTTGCCAATAGCTTAACACACATGAAACGCCCTTTGCAGTGGACCAGTCTCTCGAGCCCCTCGGACAAAGCCTTGCTGTCCATTAGGTTGTGTTTTCTGTTTTATCGTGTGCAGAAAAGCTGAGTCGAGCCTTTTGTCTGAGTGAGGAACGTGTGTCTGACCCTTGGTCTCATGCAAGAGGAAATAAAAGTTGCTGACGTCACAATGTAAACACGATACACTTCGGTCTTTCTTTTTTTGTTTGTTTTTTGCAACCCCCAACCCCCCTCCCCCCCCAAAAAAAAAAATCCCAGGAGCCTCTGTCCAGGAGCCCCTGAAGGTGAATGCAAATCTGTCAGGCCAAACATGCGGTGCTGAGAGTGAAGCATCGAAAGGTTTGAAGGGGTTTCAGTCTGTCTAGAGGATGGTGTCAGTCATCTAAAGTCCTTGGCCGGGTGGTTTTGTCTTGGTCAGCAGAAGGAATCGTCCCCGTGCTTTGCTTTCTGGTTTTACAGACTTCGGTCTGTACTGGAAAGGAATCTGGAGTGGTATTTGTTCTGATCAGAGCGAATTGCTTTCCCTCCAAAGCACTATCTTTATTCATTAGAAAATCATAAAGCCACAGTGCTCGGGATTGTCCCTGGAGGTCCCAGGCACGTCCCTCGGAGCAAAGCACTTTTGTCTCGGTGCTTGATTTTCTGCTGTCAATGTGAATGGGCATTTCCAGCTGCTGCTTAGCAGCGGACCTCTTTGTACGCTGTTGTCTCCTCATTCTTGGTGGGCTACAGCTGTCCTGGAAGAAGTGGAGGAAGAAGGCTTGACCACTTCAGCTCAAGCGAAGTGCTGTAGTGGGAGGAAATGTCCCGTGGAGCTGGAGGTGTCGCATCCCTTACATTGGTGACGAAGAGGATGGGGCTCTTTGTAAGGCTGTTGATGCTCACAGGAGCTAGGGAGAGCCAGCAAAATCTGTTCTAGCCAGTCCAAGCTAGCAACCAAAACTGCCTTTAAACTTTCATGTCAGCTTTTTCTCTGCTAAAATCAGACTTAGTCATTGCTCTAGCAAAAAAAAAAAAAAAGGCAGGCCTTTTCTATCACTCAGATGATGTTGGCCTGGAGGAAGTAGGTAGTTCCCTTAAGTTTCCCTCTTTAGACACCTTCCTTCATGTGTATGCAAAAATCCAGCGCTCCGGAGGAACAAAAAAAAAAAAAAAAGAGTCCAGCCAGCCCACGTGGACCTTGAGTAACAGCTTCGTGCCCTGGAAGAAACTTCAAATTTTTGTCTTCACATTCTTCTAGTTCCAATGACTTGGGCGCAGAATAGGCTCCCTCAAAGGATCTGCCTGAGGTTAACCACGCTGCGGTCCAGCAAGTGGCCCTTAGGTGTGAACGCGAGGATCGGCGCATATTGCTTGCGCCGTCGCCCCATCCAGCATAGCAGACGAGCTGTGATACCTTAAGAGGTGGGGACTGGGGAGCATTCAAAGTCACTTCTGGCTGTGGTTAGTCCCCTGCTCACAGCTCCATTTGGTTTGGTAAAGTTGAAATCCAAAGTCCAGCAGAGCAGCTGAAATCCCTTGGCGCAGCATTGTAGAAATCGCGGGTGGTGGTCTCAGTACACAAGACAACCGCCGTGCAGTAGGAAGTTGCCAGCTAGCAATTTCCATTTTGTAGAGAGGATGGTTTCATAGCGGACTTCTTTCCTTTTAGGTTCATTGGTGTTTCTCTGTGGCAACAGGTTCTGGTTACTTCATCTTGGCGAATAATGCAAGAGGAACTGTAGGTTGT